CTTCAGTTTAATATAGATAAATTCAATCGGTGATACTTTCAAACTATTTGAAACATAAATCAAAATAAATACCGGGATCGGAATGAAGACGATCATCTTCAGATAATGAACATAGGTATAGATTATACAGGTACGTTCATACTTCTATTATTATTATTAAAATAATAATTCCAGCGTATCATTAAGCTGACAATGTCTGTCAAAAATACGATGGATCAGATACTTGTACACCGTATACTGAATGAGCAAGTGTATTTATAACTGACAAACATTTGAAGTAATTCCGATTATAAATCCGGATGCTGTGTAATATGGTTAAAAGGGAAGCAATTCCTATGCAAATCAAAAATGTTTTAAATGAAATAATTGATATATAATATTTTTTCCTTCAGCTTAATGGGTGAAATACTATTTATATCTTCTCCTTCCGTTAAAATCCTAGAAATGATTCTAATGAAGAGGAATACAGTGCAGATGTAGTTTAATTTTTGTTATCATTTCAATATTTCTTAATACACGAATGCATCAGAAGTTTGTCAATTTTTGCCGGGCGTATATTGTACTGCAACCATGATACTCTTCATATAAGAAATCTTTGAAGGACTTTTAGACACATAATCACGATACAGACTCGTATCAGAGAGGTATTGGTGGAGTCGTTTAATCCACGAGAGATTAACTCCTTGCTAAAACTGATATTATGTATACTGGCGATACGTAACCTAAAAATGGTAGCTTAGATTTATTTTGTATGTTTTGTATATTCTGTTGTGTGGTCATTTGCTGCCAGTGGGACCATGGGTGGCCAGTGTGATATATGGGGACAATGCTGTTAGGCCTATCTATGTCTACCCTGTACCACGCTGGCCACCTGTGGATTCACGGATGGTATCAGATACTGACTAAGGAATAGAATGACTATATCGGAAATAGAACGATAATGGCATAGAGCTCCACGTGGTGACCCAGAATCAACTTGCCAGCTACAAATCTCGTCTTATATCCTCTCATTATGTAATCCACCGTCACTCTTCAGTAAATTTATTCTCTAGTTGAAATTCCAATTCTATGTGAATGAAATCCCTCTTTAAGTTAATATCCTATTCTGCTAAGACTATGGTCGTCTGTCCGAACCACGCCAATTGTTTTTAATTAATAATCAAGGTAACAGATATGCGCTACTGATCTGTATCACAATCAACATATGTGGGGTAGGGGAAAGAACTCCAATAACGCGTATATGACTTAAACACTTAGATTAATGAATCACTGCGTGGAGCTCTGGTCGATGACTTCAATCCTTGATGTAGAAAGCTTTTAAATTATTTTACAATTAATATATTAATCAGTACAATATTCAAGAAAATCTATGTGAAATGAAATGAAATAGCAATCAACATAGTATAAGCAAAGTTTTTTGTGTTAGTAGATAAGAAGTTACATTTCAACACGAATACGATATATTTCAAATTTACATATGCTACGCGCTCGGGAAAAATAGCAAAATGTTCACCCGCTCGGAATAAGATACCTCTTATTCTAAAATAAGTGACGCTGAATTAGGTTTCAGAAAAAATATATGTCAACCATACATGGTATGTTTGTTTTGCAATCGTTAATTAATGGAACTTTAAAGAAGAAAAAGAAGCTTTATTGTTGTTTCATAGATTAATAGAAAGCTTTTAGTTTTGTTAACAGACAGAATTTGTGGTTTAAACGAATTAAAGTAGGAGTAGAAGGTACACTGCTAAATATAATACGTTCTTTCTATAACGAAGTAAAATGTTGTGTTAATTAAACAATTCAATGTATAATTTCTGCGAAGGCAGGAACGGCTTATTCCAAGGCGAAATATTGTCTTTGAATTGATTTGATTTTTATATAAATGATTGTGTGATGCATTTCTTAACTGATAACTGTCCTTCTATAAAATTTTAAAATATTAACTTAACTCTTCTAATGTACGCAGATGACATGGGTTTTTTCAGGTGCCTGCATGACTTTGCTTTTATCTGAACTACACTAAATGCTTAACTTAAAATTGATTTCTCATTTTAAAAAGAACTTTCATTTCAAAACAGCTCTAAAAATAGCAACTTTTCATGACTGTGACCTCGAATTGTCATTAACTCTTTTTAAGTTTGGTTATCATTCAGCTTCTAAGAGGAAGCAATATACCGTCTTGGAATTTTTTTCTGCCAACTTAATTGTTTTTTCTGTTTATTCTCACAAAGTAATTATATCATTATTCTGTTTGCTTTTTCATAGAGTTAAGACATTTTGAATGTATGCCCAGTAATGTTGTAGAAAATAATTAACACATTTATAATACATAATCTCCCTGCTATATAATCAAGAGGTCTGACGTTTGAGTCTCCGTGGCAGAGATATTTATGTGAAGAAAACAAATATTGTAAATATATTTCTTTCCTATTCAATTTCTGTAAAAAAAAGTATGTCATCTCTATGTCAAAAGCTGTCAATGAATTGGTGCATATGGAATGACAGGCAGGAGGATGCACTGGACAGAATTTATTACTATTTAAAACAAATATTTTTTTTTGTAATCAACACCTATTGTTATGATTTACCAAGAACTAGGGAGACTTACTTTACATATGATTAGAAGAATTAGGATGTCCAAATATTGGCTTATACGCTTAGAATTTCGAACAATTGCATTTTAAAGGCTTGATACGTTGAGACGATTGGAAGGGGCAGCAACTGACCAAATTATATAGGAATTGAATTAATGAGGTTTGGGATATTAATGGAAAACAGAGGGAATTGAAGTTCAAATTCTGAGTATTGCTAAAATTCGATTGTCATCGCATACATTTAATATTGAAACTGTTAGTTTTCATGGTTTAGAAAGATAGAATTTGTATATACTGTAACAGTGGTGATATAGAAGACAAACATCATTTTACTGTTAAATCTGTTAAATGTTATTGTACTCATACTATAACAATAAAACCTAGAATGGCAAAATGTTTAGATTTGATGACAACATTTAATAATAAAGAACTGTCTAATTTAGCAAAAATTCTGAGCCAAAGTAAAAAAAGGAGATACAATACTGTTTAAGCTGAAAGGAATCCCTCTCTTGACTGTCACTTTAATTTTATCGCGCATGCATGGTCGGAGTGTTGTATTCTATGTTTGTATATGTCTATATTTTGTACTATTTGCACTGTATATATGCACTGTACTGATTAAACGCAATAAAGAATGAATTAATTATTGGTCTTTTAAACGGCTGAAATAAAGAGATAATTGACTTACTGTAATTAGAGGGAAACTTGGTCGGAGACACTATTCCAACACAAAACTATACTTTGATTTGGACGACTACACCTTAGTAAGTGTACCTTGTAGAAAATGTCTCACATCAAGCATACAGACAAAGAAAATAAAAACAGAAGATATTAAATCACTTAAGTTGAACAATTTCAAGTGGTCAGTTGTCATCAATATTAAAGCGTTTGATTTTTGTTGACTTTAACACAACTTCAACACCTACATTACACTGCATTTATACACGTGTAACCTAGTTGACTAAATCTAGAACATCCTGAACAAGACGAACAAGCTTGTAAAACTATGTTTGTTAAATGTGTACAGTAATTGATCACATTAACACACACACACATATATATATATATATCTACCACGGACATGAAAAATACAATAGTTGATGCATTATTTTTATCAAAGTATACCATAAAGATTATGTTTTTAAACTAACCGAAAGTATCAATATATATAGTGTTGATGAAAAAGTAGCAGCCTCGTATATCTATAAATACACTTCCGAATCTCATTCAGCTACACTTATATCCAATCATAAGCTTTGCACACATAATATAGGATTTGTGAAGACATTTATTAATATACTTATCCACGGACTTTGGTCACATTTGTGACGTCACGGGAAATCGCCGGAAGTGTCATGTGTGCTAATTAGTTTTCAACGGGTAGGTGCAAAGCGAGACTTCAGACTGATATATCTCCAAACGAATTTGCCGATTTTCGTTAGATTTTCGACGATAATGGATTATAAAATATACCGAATGTACAAGAAATAAATAATGTTGGACTCAATTTGACCTTTTATATACATCTATGATTGACATTTATATACAATTATAAGATGTACTTACATACTATATGTATATACATTTTTAAACAGAAGTACTGTTATATCCATTTTTATACAAAAATATGATACCTTTATACACAGTTTCGACAATATCAATTTATCTACGTGAATGAACAGTGTACAGTGTATGAAAAAATATTAAGGCATCGAAACAAGCTCCAACGACCTTTCCAATGATGGAAGATACTGTGAATACTGTGAATCTCCAGAAATACTATGCATTCATACATGGCAATAATACAGTCACATCCAAAAAACCTATACCTGTTTAGATAGTAATAATTTGCATTTATATACAAAAAAGGAAATATATTTATATACAGAAAACAATAAATTTATATACAGAAATATACATTTCTGTATAGAAAAAATATACCCTTATATAAGAAGATAATCTTAAATTATATACAAAAATATTACAATTATATTAAAAAAAATATATTGTTTATGTACTATAGTAATAAACAATCGTTTCATTCAGTTTTAGGATACAATATAATTTGTCACTCCTTCCGCTGAAATTAGATAGCAGGGTTTGAATTGTTCCATAGATATAAATCATACAATTTTTACACGTCTTAATAACACATGTGTTGCATACTACGACATGAATCAGCTTTGTATTTGTATTGATCGAAATATTGAACAATCACAGTATAACTGTAGTTATCTGTAACTTGTTATGACGATGTCTTAGTTAGCACTCAAGAAGTAAGTGTGAAACTAAACATAAAATAGATATATAAATAGATATTTTGTATTCGTGTATATTAGGTACAATAGGATAGGGGACGACCAACAATATCTGGTTTTATCATATTACGGAAGTTAAGCGGTTGTTAACAGGAAAACCAGGCCTCGGCCTGTGTATCTGGAAAAATATTCGTCAATCATGGACTTTATAAAATATAAATATGAAACAGCTGACAGTGTTCTACATGTAATAAGCACTCACCACGCGATTTCGTTTATTAGGACATGAGGTATGTTGATTGATTTCTCATATGATTATTTATATTCTTATCCTAGTATTATCAACTTCATCAATTTGCATTAACATATTATACGTAACGATGATATTCATATAAAATATTAGGCCAATAACAATATCGAGTTGCTATAGTTTATATAAATACATCACCTACAGTGGGTGGCTTCATTTCTGTATGCAGAAGTAGCGGTGGTACATGTGGTGGTGGTTTAAAGTTTATAATACTTTGTATTATAGACATATTCATTAAAGCCCATTTACAATTTTAACAGTATTACGTCTACATAAAACAAATGAAAATATATCTGTATTTACGTTTCTACTACCCAGCTAATCATGTAGGCGAGATCAGTTATCATGAAATGTATAAGGTCTGTTCCCAGTCTAGCACTCGTGACCAAAAGTAAAACCAGCAACAACCATGATACAAATGAACATTTTATTTACAATTCACAAAATAAACATCAATATATATATATATATATATATAATAAACAGGGATTAAATGTCCATGTGCAGGAAGTAAATATAGAAAAAATAAGATTAACGACCGACTAAAACACTAGCTAGTTTTTTAGTCAATCGTTAATCTTATTTTTTCTATATATCTATATTTATAGAATAAAAACAAATTAAGACTCTATTAATGTACAGAGAATGAGAAAGGTAACTAGTATAATTTCCCCCACTATCCTGTTCCCAGATATGTGAATTCTTTACTTGTTCCCGAATATGGGAACACTCCTCTCCTCCCCAAATATAGGAACAATTTTCCCCGTTCCCAAATGTTGGAATAACTTTGAAATATTCACCCAAAAATGGAAATTACTGGTTTTCAGTAAGTACTTTTGACCTAACAAGTTTTTCGATTGTACTGATAAAGATATTGTTACCTGACTACAATAAATTATAAACTATAAACACATTTCTCCAGGGATCTCAATATCTCTTTCCAGTTACGGTGTCATCGGAGAAACTTGAACGTTCCTGCTATGGGGAAGTTTTATCCTGTGGTTTATATATGAAAATATTTCCCCATCAGTTCCCAGAATGATCACAGGGTCATCCGTCCCACTTTAAATTGCTTACCAATGGCTCCATATTGATGTGCGGGGTTGAGGGTCAACACATCCGGCGTTTTAATAAAACTAATGACAACATTTTCTGGAATTTCGGGGTTTATATATTATTTGGAATAATAGCACGCGTAGAAACTTTACTGTAAGTTAATCTGCGCTCCGCTTTCAAACGGCCACGGCTAACTGGCCAATCAGCGCCGCGCTTACAACTACATGTACAAGGCTTTGTTATTGTTGAAAGATCAGGAGATACACCATGCAGTTTGAGGAGACGAAAATAGTAATTCCTAGCTTAAAAAACTATCAACACTATTTAAAATGGATACGATTGAAGCATTTAGGAACTATGTGAACTATGTAAATAATCGAGCATGCATGTTATAGATGAAAACCCTCCGAAAATACGTAATGCAGACATGGTGAATTAAGCATGTTACGCTAATAATAGTTATATGGCGGCCACATCATGATTTCGATGTTGTCGTCTGCTACCCACCACAGTTATCTTCTGTCTTCTCATAAAATCCCGGCAAAGATTTAGTCATTAGTACCTTGAAGTTGTTATTCGAGCGTATCTACCAGGCTCGTAACATGTACATTTTTGGTACATTAAAGTGATTCATTAGTCGTTGTTCATTCAAAAAAGTAAAAGCACGTACATAATGTACCAGCTGTATTCTCCTTGTCTCTGTCTGTCTGTCTGCAAAAGAGTTGGAGAGTCCTGAACCTTAGTTAGTGCATGGTTTCTAGCAGAGAAATATATGTCACATGAGGCCGTGTTTTAGTAATAAAATAAAATAAAAATGCTTTACTACATGCAAGTCAATAATGAAAAAAAATATCCAAATAAAATTAAAATATCTAAAAATATAATTGTTTATTATCTAATCAAAATAAACACACATGTGTATAGTGGTATTGTAAGTCGGTATGGCTAGGTCATCGTTATAAAAGAATATCAAAGTGATATATATGTAATTCTGTTAAAAATGATTTATTAACGATAAATGATATACGTTCCCAGTCAGTGGACCACTTATTTTGAAGAACAGATATGATTGTAAGTTTCAAAATATGTGTTAACATTCATGTATTCATTTTAAACCATATGGGGATTAGGGTAGTGTCATTTCCTGACAAAGAGACAGCAACAGTATCTTACCTGTAAGCGTGTACTGATTGACCTTTGTATCTACTAGACAGACAATAGGCAGAATGTATTGCCTTCACACAAGGTGTTCAAGATGAGGTACGACCTATCAGTTGCCCATGTGACCACAGGTGAAAGGTCAGTGGGTTTTCATTGCCAATATTCTCAGGTAAATATCATATATTGAACAAGGAAAGAAAAGGAAAGAAAATACTTCAGTCTTTTAAACTTGGGTAAACACTGCAGTGCACCTGAGTTCATATCGTTGTGCACTGAAACTACATCGAAGTGCACTGGTGTCCACATTGAAGTGAATTGGAGTGTACTTCGATGTTTTGTCTAGTGCACTTCATTGTTCAGTATGTGTGCACTTCAAAGTTCACTAGATACCAAGTTACGTTTGCTCCTAACTGTAGCTAATCTATCTTAGATTCACCGGTGTTAATTCATTATTAGGTATTATCACTTAAAATAAAATAGGTATTAGAACATAAATCTGCAAATTTTTCGCTAAATATCAAAATAAAATTTCGTGCAAAATAGAAAAGACGTATTACTAGATAACCATAATAAAAGTTGTCTCAATTGTTTATTTTGTTTTATTTTCTTCCACAGGAAATGATGGCTTTCCACAACAGTGGTGAAATAAAGATTATTTGTTTGAAATAAGGAATTGTGAGGAATCAAACAAGTGTCAAGTCTAATAAAGGAAAACAAAAGATACCAAAAACAATTTGATTATTTTCGTAAACATCACACAAACATTGTAAGTGCAGAACAAGTAATATTACGACAACTAGGGAAACAAAATGTCCGAGTCGTTTGTAAATACCTCACCAATGTATTCATCCAGTATTAGTCTATCAACGGATAACCTGACCACGGAACCGTCCAATTCCAACGCAACTGTTGAAATACCTGTTTTTCAACCACGTCCAGTTTATGTTTTCATCATATGGTTTATATTCGGTTTCATTGGAAACTGTACTGCCGTAGCTATTCTTTTTCGAAACAGGAGAAAACACAAATGGAGAATATTTTACAGACTGGTGTTCATGTTAGCAGTGTCAGATTTCACAGGTCAGCTCATCACGATTCCAATCATGTTCGCAACATACTCAAACAGAGACATTCTTGTGACTGGAGAAACACTCTGCAACTTTATGTCAACAATAATAATCATGACGTCGCTGATGTCCGTTCTACTGGTCTATCTTATGTCTATAGATCGCGTCATAGCAATCTGGTTCCCAATTTTCTACAGAAACAGAATCACAATCCTACACATGTGGATAGCAGTAGCCCTCGTCATTACAACAGCTCTCGTTGTAGGACTTCTACCGACCTTTCGAGTTAACACACACAAGTTACAAAAAGAAGGGACGTGGTGTTTCGTTGATCTTCAACCAACAGAACCAGGAGATCAGTTTTTCCTATACCTTTGCGCGTCCATTGGCATGGTAGCGGTACTTTCAATGTTCATAATGAACGTACTGGTGGTATGTCGATTGTGTCATGTGTACAAAAGGAAGACGGGTCCTGGGAGTTGGATTGCAACACCAAACTCTAATACGGGAGTTAAAAACGTACAAAACATCTGTTTCTTGATTATTATCATGGCAGTATTTATGTCGTCATGGATTCCAGTCATTGTAAGTATAATTTTACCAATTATTACAAGAAATAAGCAGTGAATTTTAGCTTTCTCTGTTGTAAATAATGTTTTTGAAGTTGGTAATGTGAAAAATAACATTATTTTTTAATTTCCGTTGTAATAATTCCAGATATACGTTTTGTAGAAATAACGCAAAGCTTAAAAAATAATGATAACATTTTGTTTTTAAATAGAAATGGAAAAATCAAGTATTCGTATAGAAACAAGGGATAACACTTTTACTCTTATACATTTGTTTTTGTCTGTGGCACCTAGTATGATGCATTGGCAGAAAAATCAAATCAGCACAATGCAATAGACTTGTATACCTATTTCATGATTTAACAAGAGTTCTGCGAAGCCGTACATGATAACTGAGCAGTTTGCCACAAAGGGCCATAAGTGCATACATTTTGGAGAGATAAGCGTCAATTCTACAAAGGGCCATAACTGCATAAATAACCAACAAATACTTTTTGTTATCTAACTTGTCCGAGCTTTTATGGCAATGAACCTCCCTTCCAAGTTTGAAATTAATCCATTCAAAATCACTGAAGTTATTGAGCGGACACTGTTTCGGCAATTTAATAAAGGGCTATAACTCCGTAAATAACCGGCAAATGATTTTGGTTATCAAAAGCTTTCATAAAAATGAACCTTCCTATGAAGTTTGAAATGAATCTATTCAAAATGACTGCAGTTATCGAGCGGAACCTGTTTCGGCAATTCTGCAAAGGGCCATAACTCCGTAAATAACTGGCGAATAATTTTGGTTATTGAACCTGTCTGAGCTTTCATAGCAATGAACCTTCCTATGAAGTTTGATCTGAATCCATTCAAAATTCCTGAACCTATTGAGCGGAAACTGTTTCGGCAATTTTTCAAAAAGGCCCACAACTGCGTAAATAACCGGCAAATAATTTGGTTATTGAACTTGTCCAAGCTTTTATGGCAATGAACGACGGGCGTATAAAAAATGGGAAAACAGGTTAAAAGTTCCTTATTCTACTGCCATCTTTATCGATTACGGATATAAATTTATCTGTTGGAACTATATTTCATTCGTTTTCTAATAAATCTGAATCTGACAAACATCAATTAAAGGAATGATGACAGAAACAAATGTATCGGCGAATATGTTAATGTCACATACCGTTAACCCTTAACCTATTGATATATCACCTAACTATCTACCTTTTGGTTGTCACACGCACCATTTATAAATTGTAACCTCAAGCTAACTTTGTACCCTTTGTTTAATTCCCGTACCGTTTGATTTTGCTAGAACTTAACATGTACTTATTGTTTTAATCACAGCCACCACTTACCCATTGCTTATTAAGCCTTACCAATTATACATCTACCATTAACCTACTGTTCAATTGTATGTGTCTACTTGCCACTGTAAACGTTTTTCTTACACGTACCATTTATCCATTGTTTTTCTTACGCGTACCATTAATCCACTGTTTTAATCACAGCCATCACTTACCCATTGCTTATTAAGCCTTACCAATTATACATCTACCATTAACCTACTGTTTATTTGTATGAGTCTATTTGCCACTGTAAACTAACTCCCTCATTTATCGATTGTTTTCTTACATGTACCATTAATCCATTGTTTTTCCATACCTGCTAGCTCGGGGATGGAATGGGCCTGCCGCACTTCCACATGTCGTAATAGGCGACTAATGAGGGAGCCTGCAGAACCGGGGCCCCTTCTCTGTCTGCTGTTAAGGGGACATTGCATTAACTAAACTTGCAGTCATCGCCTCAACACTTGGGGTATTTTTTCCCCCTTTCCCATTCTTTCTGTTCGGGGATGTCCCCATAACTACCGTGTACCTGTTTTTAAAGTATCTGTACTGAGTGATTTTTTAGACGATTTCAATAAAAACCAGAAAATTATTAACTGTTCTGATCCCATCTACACGTCCAAGCACTAAGAGCGGAAATTAATTATTTTTTTAAAAACTTCCGAATCAAGACATTTTATAAAAGTAGGTCTTTTCATATGAAAATATAAAAAAAACTGCTGCCTACATTTACATTTAAACTTCAAAAATTATTCAGTACCACATGTATCAATTTTTATCATGCAAAGCGTATTTCGTTTATTTTTGTTTATGTCTGAGCGGTAGATATTATTTATTATCAAAAATACTTTTTTGTATACCTGGATTCGATTTAAACTACTTAGATAATGTTTGTAAATCATCAAAGAATTTATATAATTTTAGAAATAAATGCATATCACTATAAAATTGCGCAATTTTCTGAGAAAAGTAGTCAAATTGATCGGTACATTGTTAAATCCCGATTTGATTACAAAAGCTTATGACCACTAAAAATAAATTGAAAATTAAGATATGAAAAATAAATAAAATTGCCATTTCAAATATAAGGTTCCGTAAAGTTAGGAGTAATTATACATTTGCTGCCCATTTGAGTCTTGTATCACTATTTTCATTCATAAATTCACTGAAAAGATCTAAACGACATGTATACTGGACGTCAGCTTACATGGGAGCATACATGATTCGTGTTTTGTTAAAAAAAATAACAACTAAATTGAGAAGGCGCAAAAAATGACCAGAAAAATTCGATTCCATACATAAATACCATTCTTAAACCTTCCTTGTTATCGAAAAAAAAACTTTCTCCTCTCAGTATCACTATCTCAGTAGTACAGCGATAGTTTACATTGCAATAGAAAAAATATCATAAAAACTATAGTTGTAAGCTGAGCCTAGTTTATGATAATAATAATAATACACAACATTTGATATAGCGCCCTATCTAGCTAGAATAAGCCACTCTAAAGCGCTTCACAGTACATAGTTAAACAATTTCTACAATCAATAATATATAATGATTTATACAATTGATAATTTACATTTATCAATACAATTTTGAGGAATCCGCAAGAGCTGCCTTATCAGGCGTTAACTACTAGCCATATGCAGTCTGGCTAATATCTCCCTATGTGTGTATGCCTGCGTGTGTGCTAGATAGGTATTTCGGTCTGTTTGTAGTGGGACCGTGCTTCCAACGGTATCATTTATAGTGCCACCTCACTTGAATGCGACATCACAGATATCGCAACATCTACCCCAGACACTTTTATACTCCACCTGGGTTGTTGGAGTTGTGTGGGCAGGAGTATAACACTTTCTATGAATATTCCATGGTTACGACGACTTCGGGGATCGAGCTCCGGCCGCCTGTCTGGAAGGCCGGAGTGTTAACCACTCGACCAATCCGCCCATTAGTTTATCCCGACATTTCGATTTTGTTTCGGAATACTAAGTTTTCTTGTTATAAAGGATTCGGATGATCGGGTCAAGAATAACATTTTAATTTTGATTCATATTCTTTCCATTACAGATAAGGTTTTTTATCAACGCCGTTAGATTGTCCGTTATTGATTATGAAAAGACAAAGCATGCTGTAGCGATCACCGTCACGCATCAAGTCCTAAACCCGTGGATATACATCATCATGCAGGATTGTCTTTTCTCCCGTTGCCTGGAATATGGAAGGAAGCACAGCAAACGAGGAAGTATCTTCCACCGGATTTTGGGGGACTACGAAACTAAACACCAGGAAACTAGCTTGTAGATGATGCTCTCATGTGTGACCTAGATACAGATGTGTAAAGCTCCTTCAGTTTGATTGAGATAAATTCAACCAGTGATACTTTCATATTTTTTGAAATAGAAATCAAAATTAATTCTGGAATCGAAATCGATATGATCATCTTCAGATAATTTACATAGGTATGGATAATACATGTACGTTCATACTTCTATAAATATTAAAATAATAAATTCAATGCATCATTAAGCTGACAATGTTTGTTAAAAATACGATGAATCAGATACTTGTACACCGAAAATTTATTTGTACTGAATATTTACATATACGCGTGCAAACAAATACGGGACGAATTAAGGTATAGGGAGTGTCCGTATAATATCGTTTGAATTCGAAGAAACTTGTACGATATACATAGACTAAGTCTAAGTTTGAATTAAGCGGAACATTTAATTATTTGCTCTCTGATTGGATGACCGGATTCGGATAAACAAATATTTGTCATATAGTACAAAAAGGCTGAGTTTATAGTTGGGCAAAACCTGTGCATAATGAAAATGCAAATTGCGCTCTTATGGTCAAATATCTCAGCTCAATGACCTATAAGAGATAACCGAGTTATTGACATTGGCCAATATTAAAATAAAGTACGCCAATCATTAATGCGCATTAGGAAATTACTTTTTAAAATGTTTAAGATAATTCTCTTATAGGGAAAGGGGCAGTTTTTCCAAATTTGTTTTCTTATTCTGTCAAATATAAGGAAGCATATTCTATACAAATACAAGTGCTTTTAACGAATTGAATGATATATGATACATATTCCTTCAACTTAAAGGATGACATGCTATTTATATTTCAAATCATAGAAATGATTCCAATTAAAAGGAAAATACAGTGAATATGTTCCTCAACATTTTTTTCATTTTAATATTTTTAGCATTTCAAAATTTGTCTTTTGTTTAATACACGAATGCATCAGAAGTTTGAAAGTTTGGCATGGAACGGGTGTATAATGTTCGGCAACTGTGCTACTCTTCAAATAAGAAAATATTTGAAGGACAGTTGGAATATAATAACGGTACCGACTCGTACCAGAGAGGTTTTGGTGGAGTCGTTTTATTCACGAGAGATTAACTCCTTGCTATAACTAATATTATGTATACTGGCGATACACACACAAAATCCAAACTCAAATGCGACACAAAGAGATAGCGTTACAAATGTCATCGATATTCAGTGAAGAATCGTCATGAACTGTAAATATACCACGTGATCTCATCCTAACTGAAATTCCACGCAGATAACAAACATGTTGGTGATTGAGTTTAAAAATGAATATAGGAGAGTCATAGGGTTAAGGAATCAAGTTATTATACTTAAATCATTTTCGTCTTGTTATCAAGTATGGAAAACGCATTTCATACACAGTTAACACAAACATGATATCTTATTATAACCGTGATATATCTAAAATGAGCTTAACCATATGTATTTTGCATGTCTGCTACTGTTTAACATAAACAATACAATATAAACATACCAATTTTTTTCCCTGACGCATATATACCATAATTGAATACATTTCGATACCTATATTTTTTTTCTTACAGTTCATGAAGTCGATTATTACATTTTTTGTAAGTGAAATACAAGGTTTTACAGTGGAATTTTATAAAAAAAATCTACTGTGAAAAATGACACTATTTTGTCACTTAATTAACCAATCAGAGAAAACAGTTTTGTATGACAATCAGAAAATAATGGACTTGTAAAATCTTGCGTCACTGACGCCCCGACGTTTTCTAATTATGGCTTCGCAAAACAGCATTTGTATCAACATATTTGGCCTGAAATCTGTTCACAGAAGCCAACTTCTATATAAAATAGCAATAAACAAATTCGTCGTGTGTTAGTAAATAAGTTACATTTCAACACAAATAAGATATATTTCATATTTTCACACCTGTAACACGCACGTGAAAAATATTGAAATATTTACATGCTCGTGAAAATTTACTTATTCATTAGGAAAACAAGTGTCCTGTTGATCTTTATTCAATTCATGTTGTTATCTTTCCTTTTCATTGTGGATTAAAATTGGTCATTGAATATACTACATTAATTTGTTTTTATTAGAAGACACGCTCACAAAGTAGGTTTATATTTCAGATGATCAATACCACAAAACAACAACACCTGATAATTACTGTCACAAGATAGATTGCTATGGACTGAAAATTGAAGAGAACTTTGCATAAAATTGTATTGCCGGGTATATATGGAAGACATAGCAACATCACGGACAGACAATGTTAATACATTATGCACGAGCAATAACACAAATTCATATAACTAAAGTAATATTACCTTGCAAATATTTCCTATTAATCATATGTTATGATGAGCCCAGTTGTGTAGCAAATACACATATTCAAGCAAAACGAAAGCCATAAAAAAGAATTTTGCAATAAGTTGTATTGCCGTTTATTGGAGGAAGACATCGCAACATAATGGACAGACAATGTTTAAACATTATGCATGAGTAATAACACAAATTCATGTAACTAAAGTAATATTACCTTGCAAATATTTCCTGTTAATCATATGTTATGATGAGCCCAGGTGTGTAGCAAATACACATATTCAAGCAAAACGAGAGCCATCAAAAAAGAACTTATATATAAATATTTTATTTTATTATGTCCTACCTAGCTAAAGTAAACTATCTTAATGTCTTTTATTCGATTTTAGTGGAATGTGCAAGAGCGCTGCCTTATCAGACGGTAACAACAGTAACTGTTGTATTAGCCTAGTGTCACTTAGCAGATATCTCCACATGTGTGTATGCATGCGAGTGCACTGGTTGATGTTTGAAGTGGGACAGTAGATTAAATGGGTCACATCAATTTAATGATACATCAAAGGAAACCGCATCGCCTTGACAATGTTAAAAGTAGATAGCTGCCGGATATGTGTTGGTAGGAGGTACTTACTTTAACTGAATTTAGCATGCTACGACGACATCGGGGATTGGAGAAAAAAAGGCAATAATTAGTTTAAGGATATATTGGTCTTAAGCTGTACCAATGTCATGATTTCGGCATACACACACATATCTGTAAAAAATTTTTTTTTATATACTTCTCTTTCCTGTCATTTTACTTGAAAAATGTACATGGATCAAACGATACAATTGTCAAGCTTATGAATAAATTGGCGTAAGGAGGTTACACCACTGAGGAGGAAAAAACCTGCTCATTGAGGATTGTCATTCAATTATCATAGAGCAGACATTTTCTTGTGGTGGACCTGCTTCCTCGTAGTCAACTTTTAGTTTGTGTGTGTGATGAAACTATTATGAGATGGAAAATATATAAGGTAGATAGGAATACATAGCGATGACATATAAATGAAGAAAACCTGCTCATTGAGGATTGTCATACAATTATCATAGAGCAGACATTTTCTTGTGGTGGACCTGCTTCCTCGTAGTCAACTTTTAGTTTGTGTGTGTGATGAAACTATTATGAGATGGAAAATATATAAGGTAGATAGGAATACATAGCGATGACATATAAATGAAGAAAACACACTGTAGACAAATACACAAAGTGTTGGAATCACTAGCTAGGTCATTTATAACCATTTAGAGTTGAATTTCCCTGTATCTATAAATGGTTTTAATTCCAACGCTTGTTCTTTAGTTAGCACAATTGTTCTGGTTTTTGCTTTATGGGTCGCTGAATTCATTTGTATTTGTTTATTCCTTAAACTTTTAATTTCTAATTTTTCTAAATCTTTTTTTATTTTATCTTTAGTATCTTTCCAAAGATATCTGTCATCTTTCAATATTTTAACCAATTCCTCGTTGAACGGTTGAAAGAAATTGTCTAGTAGATATCTTGTGTTATTAAACATAGGTCCGACTTTCTTCTTTTTTCCTGTTTCGTATTGTCGTGCTCTTTTCGAAATCATTGTTATATCTTTCTCTGCTAGATCAACTGAAAAGAAAAATAAGAAATTGTGAAAAATAAATAAATTAATTAATAAAATTAACGAAAGATACGAAGAAAGACACCTTAGTTACCTTAACTAGTATTTTAGGTAAAAACCATGTCAAATTTATACCAACTACGACACTTTGGCTAACCTTGGGGCTGATATGAGGCAACTCATGTTTTCACATGATGCGTTATTCTTTAATGACAAGAAACAAAGTCAGCCTAAGGAAACAATCAGTATGAAAAAAGAGTTAAGGATCCTGTTGGTTATATATATTTACAAAACCGTATTGATGATAACCCACCTATAACTATGATTGTTTTTAACCAGGAATTCCAGACTTTGAGAAATGATTCCTTTTAAACTATATAATTATCTCAAAATCACAAGCAGTTTAAGTTACAACATTAAAATTCTTTCGATATTTATTTGTTTAAAATTGCGTTAGAAAGTTTAGCCTGCTCAATACAACTGAGGCGATATGCATAATACACATTCGAACATCATTAGATGAAAGAGGTATGTTTTATATAACCCCTCATGGCCAAGATAGTTTGTGTTATTTTTTTAAATAAAGAAACCAACGCATACATAATTTGTCGGTTTTTTGGATTGTTTTTGTTGCACACAATAAGGTATAGCATTATCATTGAACCCCTCATATTAGCTCATTGAGGTTTGCATACAGCATAATTGCTGTGTATGTGGCTTTAATAAATCGCGATTTTAAAGTAAGATTGTCTTCGCGAGTTTTTAAGTCTGAAGTCATAAAGTAAGATACAGTATAATGTGTTTTTTTCAAAATTCAGTCAGTGTCAGTGATTTGTGTTGAGTGTTTTAATGAGAACTATTATTAATCTGTCTAATACTTACATATTATCTAGAATATCGACGATTCTACATACAATTTTTCAAATGTAGTTTTGGACTATAGAGTATATTTTTTTAACTTACAATTCAAAACAGTCGCAAAACACATAAATTTGTGATTTATCATTCATTCGCGAAATAAATCATTCGCAAAAAGATTACCTGTAAGTTTTTATATATAGACAATAATATCTGAATGAAGAAGTTGAATATGTTTTGTTATTATATGCCACAGTATAAACCTACTGACGTCAAGGATACGAAATATATTTTGAAATCTGTTGAAATGAAATGAAATATACTTTTGAAATGAAACGACATGTTTTGGTATGGGCTCAGTATAAACTCACCGACGTCAAGAAAACGAAATATATTTTTGAGATATGAGGACATATTGCGAGAGTAATCCTCCGACCGCATGATGAGTATCTGCTTTCTAGGAAAAACCTTCAGCCACTCGCGTAGGAAAACACTGTAAATACTGACATGGAGCCGTGCCTGAAATAACAATATATTTCTGTTTATACAGTATTGTGTATACCTTTGTTTTAATGGTTGTTTGATAAGATGGACAGCGAATATCACATGACGGTTAACATATAAGACAAATAATGTTTTATTGTAACACAGCAATACAGCATTTTTTTACGACCCTGAACATCGATAGTCAAGTAACAAAACAGCGGTATCGCAAATTCACAACTGAGGAAATGATTACCTTCCAAATCAAACGCAAAAAAGACCACGTAAAATCAAAGCAGTATGCCGAATACACTGATTGCTATTAGAAACGCAACACCGCAAACCAATGTGGTTAGTTTGTAGTCTGTTTAGCGTCTTTATGACATCGAAGGACATATTCCCCGGACAAAGTGACACACATTGACTTCAAACCCGACTTAGATCGCTAAAAATACTGCTAGAAAACTGTCTCATTTACAACAATAGCAGTAAAACCGCTATAAATGGTTTACTTCTTCGTTCTCAATTATTTCCGTTGCCGTTTTGTGGTCGTATAATGCAGAGAAGAAAGAACCTGTATTATTTCGTGAACACATATTTTAATCAAAACTATAGTCGAACTTTGTTATTAGGGTTTCTCACGGATCTAATGATAACGATATATAGGGAGGTGCATATATAAAGTTCTGGTTTTGTGATAATAAAACTAAATTGAACGATGATAACACGATAGAGATGATAAATATGAAATAAAATAGGATGAAGATTGAACTAGAAAATGCCTGCAAGACATAAATGCACCCAGGATGGGACGGGACGCGACGCGACGCAAAAGGACGGGACGGGACGGGACGGGATGCGACGCGACGGGACGGACATGGGCAACACTATTTGGAAATGGAACCAACCCGAACATTGGTGTGAAGCTTGCGGTCAAACAAACACTTCCGAACACTTTTTTGTTGAGTGCAATTGTTGAAGTATCGAAGTGATTGATGCACAGCAGCATGGAAGCCACTTGGGGTCTGTACTCCGCTCTTCAGAAACAGGTAGTCGGAGTATAACCTGTGAACAATTAACAGAAAGAGTATAGTCGAGACAACACAAGGGAGTAATTATGATTCAAAACAATTAACGAAAGATTTCAATATGGAATAAGCTGTATACAGAGATCACAACGGGCAATTCGCTGAATACGAAGGTCTTGAAAAGGGATTTAATAAACAAAAGAGAGTATGCAGAGAAGCAAATTAGGAATTTCCTGTTAACTTGATATGAATAACAAAAATAAGAATTAAAGATGAGTACAGTTTGGATTAACCTATACCTATGAAAACTCAAGGATATGTCAAAATGACTTGATAAAGGGTGATCTTGCTTATATGAAGATAAAGCAAACTTAGTAATTACTAAATCGATGGACAAGTAGTTGGTATTCACAAGTTTTATTCGATAGTTTTAGAAAGGGTTTCGACAGTTATAGACACATAGACATTTATAGACACATAGACAGTTATATACACAAAGACAGACACATAGACATTTATAGACACATAGACAGTTATATACACACACACAGACACATAGACAGTTATAGACACATAGACAGTTATATACACACAGACAGACACATAGACAGTTATAGACACATAGGTAGTTATAGACACATATTAGGAAAGACAGGGGTAAATTGTCGGTATATAGACAGAGGTGGATGTACCCGGTGATGTGCTTGCATTGAGTTTTAAGTATTTGTTTATCATAACAACCGAATTAAAACATACATCATGATAACTTTGCAATTATATAACATGTAGGAACGATACCTGTCATTCAGAAATATACATTTAATAACAACAAAAACGAAAAACTGGACATGAACATTAATATTTTTCATTCCCGAAATTGATTCTAAAAACATTTCCTTGTAATTGTTCGTATAAAGGAAGCAAACCAAAACAATGTAGTTGTAAAAGAAAGCAAATCCCGAAGTATTGAATCTAGAATCTTGGCCAAGACTTATTTCACTATTAAAGATAAACAGATGATAAGAAATGTAAAACGATACATATACTATTATCAAAAAGAGGATATAACAGGGCTAGCATATATCAGTCTTTTCCTTAGAAAAGGGAAAATATGATCAAATCACGTTTAAGTATAGATTGATAATTTTTCATGTTCCCGATCCGACCGATATCTAAGACTAGTTGTGAACTTATTACATATCCGTTAAATTTTTCACTTTTGCCTTTGTTTTATTTTAAAAAAATAACGTGTGTAATACAATATGCGTTACCTTTCTGTTGGATCCCTGAGAACGAGGATAAGTTTGACACCTGGGTTCACGTGTTTGATGAGGTGAGGGGTGAGTATGCTTGGCATTGTTTGATTTCTATTCTGCGGGATCTGGGGCCAACCAGAAAAGTCCCAAAAATCCATAGGCGTCCCGTCCCCTGTAAGGAAGTTTGAATGATGCGTTAGAAGTTATGGGTCGCAGAACTGGAAACAGTTTTTACTTTACCGAAAATTTAACTCGGTAACACATGTTCGATGTGTTATTGAAATTATAGATTCGTATGAAATGCGGAACTGTGAACGCACTGCTGCTTCATTAACTCTTATACGGGTCCTCATTTGGACTTGGACGTAGAAGTTATGTGGAAATCGCATATCGTTAACCCATAACACATTATGACATACTTATGTTCTTAAGTACACGTAAATCATAACATATACGTTATAAATTCACATGACCAACAATCCATTAATTCAAATTGAACTACTACTACTACATGATATAACATGTACAACACCCTAAAGAGTCCTATGTTTTGACGACGTTTTAAGCTCCAACTATGATAATTGTAAGTACTGGGCAAACCCTGGTCAAACACATGCTGTACCTGTGATGAGAAGGTGAAAATCACCACTGTCCGTATTTGACCCATTTTGGTTGACCTGAATATTTCGTTCAATCTGTCCTGCCGCATTGTCAAAATAGCCAAGGTACTGATCAAACGACTCTCTTCTCACAATCTTTTTAAGTCCGTGTCCTGTTGAGGGGATACTCAAAACGTGAAATAGTTCATAGTAAAAGATAATACTTATAAAAGAACACAAATACGTATTAAAAACATTTCCTTACAAATAATGGTAACTGAAAAAAGTTGATGCCGATACAATTTTCATATGTGCATATTATGTTATAATTAATACATCGGGAGAATGATATAAATGACCAACACAGGTAGTTCATGCATGAATCAATGAATGAAATGAATGGATATTATGAATTGATGCAAGTGATGAAAAGATTTAAGTAAGCAACCATTTTGAAATCAATCGGATCTGAATAGACATTTTACCATAACGTGTCCAAGGCCACCAGGAAGTTTCCTTATTTAGGACTCCGCTGTTAGGTAGGATCTGTGGATGTTGTGTGATCCTAGCGAAAAGGTCGGTTGATCCACTCTTGTCAACACCTATTAGCTGGAAGTATGGCAGGCATCGCAAGGCACGTACGGGAACAGGCCCTACTGTCGAACACACGTCATAGAAACAGGGGTTCTTGTAACCTCTTGGTAGGAAGGATATGTTCTGTAACCAAGTGTGACTTATAGTTAACCAAAATAGAAAAAGGATGTTGTATAAGTTAATATACAGTTCAAATATTTGAAGAATTCAAAATGACAGTTTGCAACATACCAAGTTACGTTCCAATAATTCTAAACGTTTACTTGACTAGCTAGAACATTGATCATATGGCAAGGCCACTCAGAGTAAATGTCGTAAGACAAAAGGGGTTACAAGTTTAACAGGAATGAAATATATGATTTGGGAAGTAAGACAAATTAAACAAAACTTGTTTGAGATTTTTTAAGCTAATTAAATTACAGTATAATCTGTCTAAACCGGCCCCTGTCTAATCCGGACAACTGTATAAACCGGCTTTGATTTGTGGTCCGGGCATATTTCCTATATAATCATAGTAGTTAAACCCGTTATAAACCGGACCCTGTCCATTCCGAAAACCGGCGTTATTTCACAAAGTTGGCATAGTAATCCATGTAAAAACAACCGGTCCTTGACTTTTTCTCGGCCGGCTACAATCTAAAGCAAACACATTCTAAACAAAATAGCGCTATCCAATGTCGTGTCGGTCTGTTGTTTATGTTGAAACACTTGTATTCAAAATATGACATGTCGACCCTGTATAAACCGGACACCTATATACACCAGCCAAATAGTTTGGTCCCGATGACATCCGGTTTAGACAGCTTATACTGTATTAAGATTTGAAAATATTACAGAACTATATTCTGTTAGTTGATATACAATGTATATATATTTGAAGCATATTAATTAAGAACTGTTGTCTGAACCAATAGTTTGATTAGAATCAACGATGTCTCTTTCTCTGCATCTATTGTGTTTGCCATGCTTCTGTATGTTTGTGTTGTGATGGACCATAAGACCATAAGATAGTAAGAGGAATGGATAGAGTGACATCCACCATATGTTAAACCACATAATCCTCACAATACGAATAGATAGAGCAGGACCTACACGATAAGGCGTAGTAATGCCTGTCTGTAAGACTTGTTTGCTGGTACAAGATTAAATGTCAAGTGTCATATTAGGACCGATGCCTTGTGAGACATCGCCGAAAAGAAAAACCATGGAAGCGTGAACAGAAAACAAAAAGATCCGAAGTATTGAATTAGAAAGCAGATCAATTTGGTTATCTTCAATGTCCTTTTAGTTAAAGACAAAGAAGGAAACCCCCGATTCTGCAGGGATCCCGTATACATTGCCTGTAACGATAACTTGCAGTGGGATACAGCATACTTTATATGTTCTCTAACCTGCAGGAGGACATGTAAGTCCGTTACGAAAACAAGGCTGTCCAATTGAAACTGGCAATATTTCCTTTTTTAAAGTTCCTAAACAGGTATCGGTTTATTTGTATAAGATCTTCATGATCGTATATCACGCACAGTCATGAATGTTATCACAGGTAAACAACCAGTGATGTGATATAAAAATACATAACATTGTGTTTTTGTTTTAATATGAAATATTAAGATGAAAATTCAAAAACTGCTCTCTATAGTTTAAAAAAAATATGAAGATCGGTCAACTCTTTCAATAAGAATGATTATTTTGTAAATAATCTTAAAGCAGAAATGGTTATAATTGGTAGTCATTTGGCACTTTTACACAACTATCATACATGTGTCCATAATACAATACTCATGAAGGTGTCCAAATGTTGAACTCTCAGAAGACAGAAATAAAAGCTAAAGAAATATGTAAACAATCGGACCAAAAAAAACACATCGATTTTTATGAGTTAATATTGGAAATGTATGTCAATATAAAGTATGGTGTTCCGTCACAGCTTTCATTGTATGGAGCAAACTAGGACGAAAACTGTCTAAGACCAACACCAGTTAGACCAATATGACAATTTGAAATTAATACGTTTCTTATCATATGGGTTCAATTAACAAATTAATGTTTACAGTAAGACTTATTTAAAAGTACGATTTACACATGATTTAAGATAACACAAGGTTCGATAAAAGCTGGTTTTACTTACATATCTCATTAGGTCCTCCGCCCGTGTGCTATTGAATGGAAACCGTGACGACTCTGTAGAGCACCACTCAAAAGCCTTCAAACCTTGTAATTCCGGAAATGATGTTGAGTTCAGTTCAGACCCAAACTTAGTAACGTTTCTATAGACATATTGTTTTTCACTTTCTTTAGAAACGGAATTGATCAGACCCGAATTGCTGTCATTTCTCATAAAACACTTGCGTAATAATTCTTTTTTAATAATCAATGAATTCTTTTTGTCAGATAGTATTGCTTCCGTAGTAGCCAGTCTTCGGTTATGTAGTTGGAAAAATCCTAGAATAGCACCAAACATTAGAATTACTAAAAGCGTAGTAGCCACGTAGCTTCTTCGGTAACATAATGGATGACGCAAATGAAGTTTTCTTCGCATTCTCTTTTCAGAAATTTATGCATTCAGTATCAGAAAGATGCATGAAGACAATATTGAATCTGTAATACAAAAAAAGACAAATTCATATTATATTCAACATTCATTTCTATTGTGTTTCCTTTTTTTCCCAGCGCCACATATAATCTCACATAAAAAATGTGAAGTTATACATCTGTCTATTCTCCATTGCATTACTTTATTGTCTGCCGGTGAATTTAATTGTTATATATACATATACAGATAAGATCAAAAGTTCAAGTTGATAATAAAATGTCAAATTTGAATAAAATAACATACATAAATAATATACTTTTAAACAGTAATATCGCTGCCTGCATACGTTTATTATGTGAGTGTAAGGTATTGCCATCAATACAGTATTTTATTTATAAATGGCTATAATTATTATGAAAACATTCGGTTTATCACGAGGTATAAAATGTGTACTTTCCGTAGAATATTTTGGAGTCATTTGATAGGGATTATGTCGGTATGACCGCATGACGATACCATACATATTGATCATGAAGCCAGCTAGTTTCACGCTATAGACACATATAATCTTATCAAACACGTGGCTTACAATACACACACGATAACTGCTTTAGTTTGTGCTGTTTTAAGTGCTCACGTTATGTCAGTGAACTGAAACTCATTTCCAGAAGACTACACGTTGTCCATGTGGCAAGCATATTTCGTATTCAAAAATGTCTAACCGGCTCCCTGTCTTGGGTTTTTATCTTTATACAAGTTATATCACAACAGTATGTATACCTACATGTACAACGTTGTGAAGGATTGACACATGTTGATCTAAAC